GACCACCTTTTTTTTGTTTTTTTTTCTGTTGTTTTTTGAGGGAATCTTTGCAATTAAGTGATGAAGTGCTGGTCATGTACATACAAGAATGACCCCAGCCACCTACACTTATAAATGGATGTTTATTGAAGATACTTCAATATTTTACATGTTTTTCCATGTACATTGCACCAAGATTTCTATACATAGCTAAGTACATAAAAAAAAATGATTCAACGACCAAACAACTTCGTATTTAAGTAGTTAACTGAAATATTGTCATTTACCCAGTGCACCACTGCAAAACCAAAGGACTAAATCAGTTTTAAAATACCATAGTTCAAGAATCTTTATATGTGGATCACTTGAGATTCATCTACAAAAGCAGCAATTGGACTGAAAAAGAAAACAATTTGTCAGAATTTCAAAATAACCCTTTAAAATATTTCAACAATTGACATTTTAGTGTTACTTGGAGCAAACTGTCTTTGAGGGCAAACACATGACTGGAACATACACTTACTGATAAGAAAAGGGCTTAATAACTTCATATTAATAACATGTCTACTTGTAGAAATAGAAAGCAATTAGAGTTGAAAACAATTCAAATAAAAACCAACACATAGAATTTGACTGTTTATGTAAGGTAAACTAGCAACCCCATCCTTTCTTCTCTGTAACAAAAACAAATGTTTTCTGAAATTACATTTGGAGGTTCTGACCTGAATGCAGTAAGTGGACTGGTAGGTTGTGGGGAGCCAGAGAGAAAGACCAGACACCCAGGAAGCTGGAAAGGAAGCCCCATGAAGCAGAGTATGTGCTACTTCCTATGCCCGTTAGCTGGTTCAGGCACTCATGTCTTAAGTAACAAATACATTACACACTCAGATGGACATTCATGTAGAAATGACGGTGAAAAGTCTTTCTCTTACAAGGATCAATTGAGATATAATTTATATTTGCATTAGAGATTCATAACTCTGATTTGGAAAAGTAGTCACTGGAAATAACAGTTTGAGAATAAACATTTCAGAGTCCAGCACTAACAGCCGTATCCATAACTGAAGACTAAAATTACAAAGCACTTTACAGGACTCATCAATAAGAACAAAGGGTTAGAAATCACATCCAGGCAGAAATATGAACACAAAGAACCCATGGCCCAAGTGCCAAGAGCTAAAGCAGTATCTTCCAAAACAATAAAAAGTAAGGATCCTGTCTTATGGCAGTTCTCACTTTACATTCAAATCTTCATTTTAAAACTGGTCTACTCAATTCTTTAATATTCATTCATGGAAAATTAAAATATTAATCTTAGTACATCAAGCATAGCCAGAAAACTGTATTTTGGTCTAAGATTCAAGTTTTTAAAAATGCTAACAATTCTATGAAAAAGAGTGTCTCAAACCAGGTTTCTGGGAGTTCTCTGTGATTGCTAATCATGGAGAACTGGAGGCCCAGGCTGGGGTTCAGCTCATCAGTGGAGTGCTTGCCCAGCTGGGGTTTGATCCCCAGCACCACCACAACAAAGGAACGACAACAACAAAAAATCCCAAACAACGTCAAAACCGAAGGCATATCTCTCAGGAAAATATCTAAGACAGACTGGTTCTAAATTAAGTGCTTCTGAGGTTTTCATATAACTGTCAAACAAAACTGAATTTTAAGCAAGCAAAGTTTACTACCACTGCTGGGAAAGAGAAAGCAAGCCTTAGCCTGAGTGCCAAGTGCATCCTGGATGCTTTAGAATCTACAAAGCTAGTGCTACTTCTGTCTATAGTTTGCCCTTTTTTTCTCTTTATTCAGTGGGACACAGAGCTGAATCCTTGTATAGTTCACCGTGCACCACATAATTTTACTGTGCAAATTCACTTACATATTCTTTAATGCAACAAAAGAAGTAAAAACTACAAAAATGAAAATATAATCCCTTCTCTACACTCCTCACCCTGCATAGGATGCCATTCTGATAAATGTCACAATAACTGGATAATAAACCCGTTTGCACTTACTCATTTCACACTTTCTGTGTGCTCAAGGCCCTTGGCTAAGTCTGTACCATCGAGCACAGGATGACTGGGGCTCTGTACTCAAGTTTATCTGCAGACATTAACCAGATAATATACAACATGAGTAAATTAACAACTCCACCGACAGGGGGAGCCTAGTGTGCACTCTGAGTGAAGCTTTGCACAGGATAGTATCTATTATCAGAGCAAAGAGAATTCATTTAAAAGGACATAGCTGGGGAAAGACGGGATCACATGAACCATGCTTTGCTCAACTGCCAATTTCATACAAACTGGCACAAAGACTTCCAAACTGAAATACAATGATTCAACTAGATCCTCTGATGAATCTGAAGTAAGGCTTAATTTGGCTTATTAATTTGTGTGTATGTGTTGCTGTGCAGTCTTTTTCTTTTTTCTCTTTGGTGGTGCTTGGGGATCAAACTCAGGGACTTGAATGTGCTAGGCAAGCGGGCTAGCACACATCCCCAGCTCTTGGTGTTTCAAGACAGGGTCTCACTATGCAACCCAGGCTAGCCTAGAACTCACAATTCCTGAGAAATGCCTCCTGAGTGTTAGGATTATAAGCATGTACCAGTATGCCTTGCTTGTGTAAGTCATCTTATAAAGAAAACTCTAGTGTAATGAATACTGACTGAACCCCAACTACAGAGAAGTGCCAGAACACATACAGGCTTTGTGAAACCACAATTTTTATAATTTTACTCAGGTGAAAATTAAGGACACAACTTAGATTTAACTTAATCAAACTTGGTTCATTTCCCAGTTTGAGAACCAGCACTATGCAGAGCACACTGCATAAACTAGATCCTTTACAGTCATAGCAGCCAAGTCTAATGTAGTAGTTGAAAGGGCAAAAAGCTAATTTTATTTAACAAACTCTGGCTTAAATAAAACAACAGGAGGTGCTCAGAGTTTATGTCCCACACGAACAGTGCTGTGAAGGACTTTTTACAAACACAAACGTGCCTCTACTGTAGGTTCCCATCTGATTATTTTCTCTATGGGAGGCTGATCACAGAAATAAGTAGAGTACTGCATTTTCTACAGCACAAGTTCACCCTCACCTCAGCTTCAGATGTAGCAACTGGATTTGGCAGACAGACACAACCATGCTAAACAGCAGTAAATGATGAGCTCCAGAGAGCACTGATCTCTAGCCCAGCTACTTCCTATTACCCACAGAACCTCCCAGCTCAAAAACAAAGCACAGCTTTACAGCTTGCAGGAACATCTCCAATTACAGTTCAACAATATTTACTACATCCTGAGCATATTCTATAACTTAAAAATAAGTCCAATTTCTCACATTCTTTTATTTCCCTCTTATCATATCTCTAAACTACTGAGCTTTCCTTCTAGTATTAGATAAAATTCTGTTTGCACAATGAAAATTACAAGTAAGTGAAAATTGCAAGTGACTGCTCTAATTTTATGTTGCTAAACACTCTTTACAAAAATATCAAATTATGTACATAGTGTAATATTTATTTCTGAAAACTGTACTTTTCCACATCAAATGTTTTCCCTATGATGCAAATAAAACATGAAAACTAGTCAATGATGGTTTTAACACAGATGTTCACAACATCCTACGAAGGGAAAAAGTGTTTAAAGTGTTATGAAAGTGCTTTAAGAAACAAGTGAACACAGTAATTCATCAGAAGAAATGCATCTAATGACCGAAGTCATACATTATCCTTGGATAATGCAAGAAATAAAACTTTTTAGACAAATGCTCTGAATAGGGATTGATATTTAAATTTTTTAAAAATAACAAATCTTTACAACTTGATGAATAGTCTAAAGAAAAAAATTAGCTAAATATAGGTAGGAGACCAACAGGAACCAGCTTTAGAAACCACATCATATACATAATAAATACAAATCAAGAAAGCTTCTAAAAATACTCAGGCCGGATGCCAGTGACTCACACATGTAAATTCCAGCTACTTGGGGAGGCTGAGATGGGAAGGATCATGGTTTGAGGCCAGCTCAGGCAAGTAGTTCACAAGACCTCCATCTCCAAAATAACCAAAGCAAAATGAACTAGAGGTGTGGCTCAAGAAGTAGAGCGAGCGCCTGCTTTGTAAGTGGGCAGCCATGAGTTTAAACCTCAGTCCCACCAAAAAAAGAAAAAAAAAAAAAAAAAAAAAAAGATACAAAATTTACTCAGAACCTGAAATACAGTATGAGCTTATTTTTGAATAATCACCTGCTAATAGATGGCAGTTCTTCATTTAAAAGTGCTTGGTGAATGCCATATATAAATGCTACCTACTTAAGTATCAAAGCCAATACAGGTCATTTAGAAAATCAGACTCTCTCTGGTTTACACATAAATGATGTTAAACTTTTATTGTTTGGTTCATTTTTTTTCCAAACTGTGTTTTAAAAAGAACAAGAATTCATGTGTAGAACACACTACAAATCAAACCAAGAATTCAAACAAAGTGAACTATACATACTTAAATACAAGTGGCTAACAGACACTCTTCTTCTGGTTATGGATGTGGTAAGAACATGAATGTGTGCTCTGTTTTAAATCCATTTTACAGCTGAAACGTTCATGTAAAAGAATAAAAGAAATGGCTCATCGGGACTCTGGATAGGCTCTCACTTTTATGGCCTACAACTGACGTATGCACCCATGCATGCCATGCACCTGCACACACTCTCTGAAAGCAAGGGCCTCCCTTCCCACTTTAACACAGAGCAGGTAAGGAAATCAGAATGCAGGTTCTTTAAGACAAAAGGCATTCCACTGATGATCTACTCAACAATTTTACAGTTAAACAAAACTCACTCCACTCTCAAAAACCCACTGACCTTAAGTGTTTTATAGACACTTTCCACAGCACAGATCCCTGTCAACATTTACCAAGCCTCACAACTGTTCCAGCTGCCTGGAACCCGTGCCTGTGTGGTATTAACATTCTTAGTGAATGTGTGCTTTTCCCCATCACAGCAGAAGAAGCAGCTGCTACTCACTGGGAATCTCTGGGGTCCCACGGCAGGCCTCGGCTGGCTCGGAACTGGCAGCAAGGGCACTGCAAGAAAACACCTTGCATTACAATCATTTCAGTTCACATCCCACCAGAAAGGAAGACAATGTACCAAGTCCAGTACAAAATGTACACTACAAGCACCATGCATAATCTTACCTCAAGTTTTACTGTCAGCCAAGCACTTGGTATTTTAACAACTCCATAGGAGAGAAGAGAGCAGAAGTTGTTCTTTTTTTTCCCCAGCACACAGTATCAAAAGCTGAAGCTTAAATTTTAAGAAAACTACTACTTAAAGTATTTTACAACAAATAAAATTCCTCTAAAATAAAAAACCTAATTTTCTTTCCACACCCCATCCAGTTCTCCAAGCTAACCCCAGTTATATTTCCTACACCATCACATACAAATCATGACAGAGAGGAAAGGAGAGAAGGAGAGAGGGAGAGAATAAGAACTGGTGAAAAATGTTCCATACCCTTACAAAGAATGATCCAATGCACAATCTATGCTAAAACTTTTAGTTTGTTTTTGTTTCTAAACAAGCAGAACTCATCAATGTATCAGAAGAGGAATCAAATCATTTTTAACAAGACATCTCTTAGCAGGAAAAGTGAGAGGTTCACCCCATACCTTGGGCTGTTCTCATGTGATCAAGTGTGGAGGAATAAAATGTGTCCTTCCCACCCTACCCCAAAATTGTATGTTAAAGTCTCACCCCCAGAACTTCAAATTTGATGACTTTGGAGACAAGGTCTTTAAAGAGTTACTTAAGGTAAAGTGAGTTCTTTATGGTCGGCTCTAATCCAATCTGACTAGAAGAAGGGGAACCTGAGCCACAAACATGTGTACACACTGAGGGGAGACCAAGAGTGGAATGAGGGGAAAAGTGGCCTCCTGCAAGACAAAGACAGGGCTAAGGAGAGCCAGTCTACCCTAAACTGTCACCTTAGATGTCAGTCTCCAGTTAAATTTCTATTGCTCAAGACCCCAGCCTGTGGTACATATTATAGCAGCCCTAGCAAACTAATACACATAAAACAAATTTTACAATGCAGCATATTTTTAAGAAGCTTCTGGGAAATGAGAAATGTATACCTAATACGTCTTAAGACTCAACTGAAATCACTTTTTAAATATCATCCTAGGATAAAGTTCTTTGTTTACTATGATTACTAAAGGAATTCCATACCTGAAGTTACATGATATTAAGTATAATTAACATCGTACTTCCATGGGTTCAATCTAAACTGATAGTATGTATGGGCCATGCCACTGTTTGATCAAAAGCAAAGTGTGATTGAAATTCTACAAAATATAAAAATGGCAGAAGTCTTACCCCCCTTGAGACTAATTCAGCGAGTAGAAAGAATAAGTCAATCTGCAAGGCTTTATCTAAGAGGACCCAATTCTACACAGGTAGTAATCAGTATAGTATTATGTATCTAATGTGAACTATCAGACTGTGAAGCAAAGAAATAAAAAACTAGACTATCTCTGATCTCAGAAGAGTATAAGAAAGGTGAAAAAGAAAAAAAACCTTACATATAAAGCAATAAGACTAGTTTTAAAATTGAGAGCCAAGTATAAAATACTCAAGTCTTCTAGAACTATATATCACACCTATCACTTCTATAACAATTTCAATCAATAACATGGCAAGAACATCAAGTCTTTAACTGGGCGACTGAGCACAATAAGCAAGAAGGGATCTCTGGGATGAATCAGATTTCAATGAGCAGGTTTCTCACACAGGAGCCTCTAATGAACTGGCAATTTTGATAAAGTATCAGTCCTTTTCTTTCTTGTTTCCAAGAATACACATTAAATTAAAAAGAAAAACATACAGAGACAGACAAGGGCCGAGAACAGGTGTGCAGTAGGAGGTCAGACCACCCAGGGCATGCATACCACCCTTTATTGACACAGCTACCCAATTCATCCCCAAGCACCACTTAAAACTTGTAATCCTTCAACCAGTCTGGATGAACCTTGACCTTGAAAATTCAGTACTTACTATCTAAGACCCTTAATGAACTGTATATTTCATGGAATAAATTTCCAATTCATTACAATAACTGAAATAGCAAAAACCTGGAAAACAAGCTGAACTTCCATCAGAGCTGGTTACATTTCAATACAATGGAACACTTCATTCAAGAAGAAAATAGGTGCCCTTGAGAGATATGAAAACGTTAACTTAAAAATATTTTTAAGTGCACTTTTTATCTGCCTAAGACTGAGAATCAGTGCTCACCTCTGCAGCACATATACTAAAACTGGAATGATACAGAGAGGATTAGTATGACTCCTTGCGAGGATGACATGCAAATTCATGAAGCAGTCCATATCTTTTGGCCGGGGTAATTTATATATTTGTATGACAATACAACAATGAAACCTGCTGAAATCATTTTAAGTAGGGGAAGAGGAAGATGAGGGAGAACAATGGTGGGGATAAACCTAAGCAAGGTACATTGTAAGCATATATGGAAATGTCACAATAAAACACCCTGTAAAACTAATACATGCTAATAAAAATGTTAAAATTTTAAAAAGAAATATATGTCAAATGAGTAAAAAAGACTAAGAATCAGTATGCATGGTGGCTCACACCTTATACTCCTATACTCAAGAGGCAGAGACCAGGAGGATTACAGTTCAAGACCAGTCTAGGCAAACAGTTAAGTAAGAACCCAGCATACCCAATAAAAACCTTTAGTTATTTTTTTAAAATAGGGTCACATTTATGCCCAGGCTGGCCTGGGCTGAGGTTCTCCTGTTTACACTTTCCAAATAGCTGGGATGACAGGAATGCACCAGCATGCCCGGCTTTTCATGGGGTGAGATGAGGTCTCAGTAATTACCACTAATGTCCCTGCCATAACGTGTAAACAGGCCTTCCTTCTCCACTGCGTCACTGCACCTTTGAAGGTCAAAGGTATGTCAAAGACAAGGAACACGTAGCACAGAAAGCTCCTGGGTTCATGATAGCAAAGTCTACATAACTGCTTCTCAAAGGTTTTTTTTTTTTCTTTTTTTGGCTGTACTGGGGTTTGAACTCAGTACTTAGTGCTTCCTATGCATTAAGGAAGAGGCATGCTTCCAGCCCTTTTTGGCTTTCGTTATTTTTCAGATAAGGTCTTGTGTTTTTGCTCAGGGCAGCCTCAGAATGCAATCCTCCTACACAGCTGGGACTACAGGGCACATGCCATCATGCATGGTTTACTGATTAAGATGGGGATCTCACTAACTTTTTGCTGCAGGATGGCCTTGAACCATGATTCTCCTGATCTCCTCCTCCTGAGTAGCTAGGATTAGAGATGAGTGCCCAGCCTGGCTCTCAAGGGTTTCAAGTGGACCCTGAGCTTACTTAATTACACTGAACTCTGTGCTGCAGCATCTGCATTCTGTATTCCCAGACTGTTGACTTTTAGCAAGTGACACCTCTTTCATACCTGGAGGACATCCTGAGGCTTTCCCTACAGCTCTACTACTCCACAGTTCTCTTACTACTTTACTATTAAATTAAAGAGAATTTGTGCATCTACCAACTACCATTTTCAACTGAATTTCATAAGGAAATGCACAACAACAGATGCTGGTATAAGTAAAATTATTCTGACAAATTAAATTTGGGGAAGCAATTGTAGATAATATGTAAAGACTTGCTAATGAGATACTGCATTTCCCTTCAGACAGGTGTGCACTCATTCATGCAACATCTGAGAGACATGACTCAGTGCTGGGGCGGGGGGAAGTGCGTGTGTGTGTGTGTGTGTGTGTGTGTGTGTGTGTGTGTGTGGCTTCGAGCCACAGTGGGGGAGGGGGGTGGCGCAAGTGACCAATACAGACAGGGAAGGGCCAAGACTGTACCTGAGTATCTGCAAGGGAGTTACTGAGGAAGAGTCAGCAAGACCAAAGGAAAAACTGACCCTTTTCACCACCTATGTTCCTGGATCAGGCCCAATAGCCTGGAGTAATCAGGAACCATATCCTGATGGTGACCCAGACACTGTCAAGAACAGCCCTAACTTAACCTGCCACACTCAGGGAGAACCTGTCAGTGTCACAGCCCTCTGCTCTAGGAGCACAGGATAACCTCACCGTGCTCCTAACTGTGCATGTCAGGACAGCTCAAAGGCAGGGACATCTCCACACCCAAAACCTTTTATAGGCTTTCTCCCAACTTCTGACATTTTTCTAAAGTAACTACTGGAATTCCAAGTTTGCCAGCAGTAGTCCCCATCGACATCCCTCAGGCCCTGCACCTTCTTGCTCTTCCCTGAGAACCCTTAAGCGGCAGCTATTCTTCTCTCACAGCCTTCTCCCTGAGCGGTGGGCTCCTTCCCAGTCTCATGTCACCTGACATGAGGCACTCCTGTGCCTCAGAGTCTGGCTCCTGGATCACTGCCACCATCTTCAGAACAGACCTGTCTGCACATTCCAACACACTGCCTCTTAGCCCCAGGTCACCTCAGCCACTGATCCTAGTGACCACCTCATTAAGGACTGCCACAGTCCTTTCTGCAATCTCCACCAGTCCACTTTTCAGTACCACCTTCTCTTCCCCCATCTCGCTGTCCAGGTCTAGGACTTCAACAATTACATCTTCATTACCATCTCTTCCTCCAGGCCCCATCATTACAAGCCCTGCTTACTCTTCTACTGCTTGTAAACCCAACTGTCCATGACAACCTATCACAGGAGGTGAGCACAGCTGGAGACACTGCCTGCTCTCACTTCTGGTGAGGAACTCCAGGCTAACCCCTGCTCACCCCAGCATACTGCTCTTCAGTCATGGAGGATGACTGCATGACTTCCCTCCTCAGACTGCTCGATGTTCTCCTACTCCCCATTTCACAGCTTGCCATTCACTGAGAAAACTAAGGCCACTGCAAAGAACTTGCACAAAACCCCTCCATCTGCTGCCCCCTACACTTGGCCAGCCACTGTGTTCATTGTGGCAGCCCCTTGTCTCAGCCCCACCTTAGCATACCAGGCCTACTAGGCAAGCTCTCACTGAGATCTTTAAGTTTGGGATGAGATTCTCCCATCCTAAGTAAAGACTTTCTCTCAAACCCACTTCCCTACCAACTATCAATAACCTTCTCCTTTTGGCAACACTATGCAGAGCCCGTGAACACACTGCCCTCCCACTCTGGGTCATCTGAGCCAAGCTCTCCCTATTCTTCTACTTTGCCAGCCAGTGCCAAAATCCCAACATCTTCCACCACTGAGTGAAGCCACTTGTCTTCTCAGTCCCAGTCCTCCTCCTCAGTGCCTCTGCCAGACCCTCCTGCCCTACTCTCATGTCAAGTGCCCAGGTCCCTCCCCATATATGGACAGCCTCCTCTGGGGCTCTACATGCCAGATATGCCCCAACTTGTACTTTGAGTGCAGACCCAAGTGGCTCTGAGATGCCACAGCTAGTTGGCATCTCAGATTTAACACGTTCCAAACATGTCTCGATACGATCCCCTCATCTCAGATGTCCACCCCTCCAGGTGAACATCTAATCTACCAGTATCCACCTGGCACCCTTAACCACAGCAGCAGGATGGGCCACTCCAACCAGCCTTGCTGCTCCTCAGTTTAAGTCAAAGTCCTTGGGATGGATCCAACGTGACCCCACCTAGACTGAACTGCCTCTACTTCTGTCTCTCTTTAATTACTCAAACCCAAGGCATGAAAAAGCACCAGCTCAGTGAAGACCCAATCACCCCAGTGAAGATGCACCACCCTCCATTCCATATCCAGCATGCTACATAAGCCCTCTTTACTGTGTTCCTTGGGAGTGGACTGCTTACACCTGTGCAGAAGAGCACATCTGTAGAAAGCTGCCTGCTCTGTTCTCCAGCCCAGGTGAGGCAGCAGGACAATCAGCATCAGACATACCCAGGAATGTGCACTTCAGGGAAGCTGCTCCCAATAGCTACCAGCTCCAGGACCAACCTTCTGTCCTGATGCCAGCAGTTATTGGGTCACAAATAATAACTGGTAAGACAGATTGATACCTTCCCACCAACTGACAGGAACTAACTGGGCATGACACACTGAGTGGAACTGAGGAAGGGCACTCACCACTTCCAACACTCAACCCATGAGACACATGAAATAATAGCACATGCACTTCAACAACCATCTCCAGGATGTGCTTTACACTCAAAAATCTTCTCAGTACGTCTGCTCAACCACAAAATAAAGAGACCAACAATTTGAAATGAACTTGACCACTGAGGTAAAATTTGTCTAGGTGAATGGAGAAGGAACCAAAGCAATAATGTGACCTCACAAACCTGAGCATGAGACTCGTCTGCACTGTGGCGACTCCCATAAAGCCACTGTCAGAGCCTCTGGATGCACAGCAGCTGCAGGGCCCCAGTAACAGATCAGAGCACATACCTTGAACAGGGGTCACCACCGTCCCCTTGAAGTGCGGGTTGATGTGGATGTTCTTGGGCTGCTGCGGGGTCACTGGTGGTGGGGTGAGCATCATTCTTGGGGCCTCGATCTGAGGGGGCATGTGCACACCCTGCGGTGGGGAGGGGTGGTGTGGGTGCTGCAGGGGGAGCAGGGGCTGTAGCTGCTGCTGCTGGAACAGGCTTCTGATCGGCTGCTGCTGAGGTGGTGGCGGTGGTGGGGGTGGCTGAGGCTGTGGAGGAGGGATTAATCTTGGAGAGTGAGCCTACAAACCACAAAAAAAGAAAAAGTCACAGAGATCCACATTTAACAGAAAAGGAAAAGAATGCTGGTACATTATGAACTCACATTAATAACTTCTAAATTTTAAGAAATAAGTTGAGTAACAACTTGAATACAAACCAAAGGATAGACAAGCTGCTCCACCTACTCACAAGAGGGTGCCTACTCATAGTTAGTCCAAGGCAAAGAGGGAGGAAATAGTAGTCTCAAAATACCTAGCATGATTCTGAAAGAAAAAAATTCAGTCCAGCAAACAAAACTGCCCATAATGAACAAAGCTGACCACCTGAGTAAAGGACAGAGAATGCCCTCTACCTCAATGCACAGCCAGCCAGCCCTCCTGCTTCCCCCATTCCTCCAAGAGTCCTAGAGACAGACAGAAACACATACAAGCAGCCTGCCCTGGAAACGAGGGCCAAGGAAAGGCCTGGGCTGGAGAGGGCCATGCTGGAAGGGAGCTGCCCTGAGGCAGTGGCATCCACACCAGCCTATGACGGAACAAATGTTCTGTGCCTCACAAGGTGAGGAACAGACCGTCTGAGAAAGGCCTGGGAGGAAAGACAACCTGCTTCTTCAGCAGGAAGACAACAGTATGGCCACAGCAGCAAAAAGAGAAGGAAGGAGAGTGGGGCAGGAAAAGTACAACCCAAGTGTCAGAAGACCTCAAGGCTATTTTTCCAACAGGGAAGAGAAAGAATTAAGCATCAGCTAGGGAGCATCCTGCAGCCCTCCTACATGAGCCAACATGGGAGCAGTGGACGACTTCCTGAAAACCCCAGGGAGTGAATTCTCTTTACTAACCTCTTTATAAGACCAAGTAACTGGGAAGCAAAGACTGCAATCAGAATTCAGACAATCTGATTACACAAGTTTTGCTTTTAACCACTGATCAAACTGACCACATGGCTAATGAGCAGTTGAACACTCCTAATTTGGCCATCTAACTTGGCCATCTAATTTAACAAGCAGTTTTCCCTGGGATGATGCCAAATTATGGAGGGGTTCTGAATTTCAAGGGAAAGATACAACATGAGTGATAAAGAATCCCTGATGATGTTTGTGGTAGGAAGACAACTGTTCACAGCAGCATGAGATGAACTAGGACACGGTGAGGAACATAAGCCAGTCAACAGGCCATGACTAAAGGTGAATATACAGATAGCCAAGGTCTGAGACACTTCTAAATTGCATCCAGAACCAACTTAAACCAACATTCTCTCTGCTCCTAGCAGCCAGGGTGCTCCCTTCTCTCAACTCATCACCTTGTGCTGCACATGAGTGGGGACCTTGCTTATCTCACTCACCACTGCATGATCCCCATGGAGAGCACATTAGCCAACATGGGGACACCGAGGTAAATTTTTGATGGAACCAAAAACAACTGCCATCACATGATCATAATTTAAGACCATGATGGGACTTTAAGGAAAGATCCTTTATGGGCTTTGTTTTGTTCTGCGGATTTTTTTCTTTTTCTTTGGGCAGTTCTGGGACTTGAACTCAGGGTTTCTGCAGCTCTGCACCACCTGAGCCCTGCCCTCATTCCTTTTGCTTTTAGTTTGTTTCTCGGGTAGGGTCTCGTGCTTTTACCCAGGCAGGCCTCAGCTCTCGATCCTCCTACCCCTACTTCGTGAGTAGCAGGAGTTATAGGCTTATGCCACCATGTTTGGCTGGGTTTTTTACTGCTGCTGTTTTTGAGACAGGGTCTTGCTACGCTATGTTTGTCAGTGCTGGCTTCAAACTCACTATGTAGCTAAGGGTGGCCTCGAATTTTCAATCCTCCTGTCTTAGCTTCCAGAGTGCTAGGATTACAAGCATGCACCACCCACCACACCTGGCTTGTGTGATTTTAAATAAGTAGAGTTGAGAGCCTGTGAAACACCCATGTGGAAAGGTATGAAAATGGAGAAATCAGAGCTGGAAAGAGATTAGGTGGGGACAAGACACATACAGAGACATTCAATTCTGTTCAGACAGAAGAGCAAACCCTAAGAACATAATTAGAGAAAGGGTATTTCAAAAACTGTTAAAGAGACTTTAAATGTTCTCACAAAAGAAGGGTAGGAATGTGAGAAGACAGAAATGTATTAATTAGCTTAACATAATCTTTATATATCCTACACATATATGGTAACATCACACTGCACAGAAGGATGGATAAAAGGACAGAGAGGAAGAAGGGAGGGAAGGAGAAGGAGAGAAAGGGACAGCTATAAAAGAGAATATGCCCAAAAATAGTGGCACAAGAAAAAGGTAGCAACCCTGGTGCTTGAGGCCCTGGGGTGTGTGGTCCATGGGACAGGTGCCCACATGCAGAGTGACTACTCTAAGAGCACAGTTCAGGACAGTGAGAAGAATGGAATCTGGCAGCAAGGGACCAACTGAGAGACAAACAGAAACAGAGACTTGAGCCAAGAATATTCCTTCCAGAAGGTAGGGGTGACGGGTCATGGGAACAGAGCAGCATTGGGTGCAGAGTAAAGAGGATCAAGCATGTCTATGATGTGTAGGGGAGGGACAGTGTAAGGAAGAGCAAGCTCAGTGCAGACAGCCCTGTTCATCACAGTCCACACCTGCTCAGACCCAGATCCAGAGTCCAGAGGCACAGCTCCATCATCAGGATGCAGGTCACCTTCAACTTATGGGTCAGTCATTTCCATTAACCTCTTTGAAGGAAGAAGGTGACACATGTCTTCCCTCTCTTTGTAGTGAGAAAACAGGGAGCTCTGTGACTTTCCAGGACCACAGAGACACAACTATGCAAAATGCAGCCTGTGTGCAGTTGTTTCCCCAGGAGGCCAAAATAACTGAATTGGCTGTTCATATTGGTCAGGGACAGGATCAGGATGGGCACAGGGGTCAAGGAAGGACAAAGACTAAGAAGCTAAAAGTCCAGGCTGTTTGACCATGGAGTCTTAAGAACTAACAGTGGTGTGTGCAGTGGTGTACCCAAACTCTCAGGGTGCTATTAGTCCACCTACTCCTCTTTCCTGCTGGCACATCAAAACTGGACTTTGCTGCAAAAGCAAAAGTCATCCTTTTTACTTCATTATTTCATTAATAAGTGGCTCTGAAACCATTTCCACAAAGATGCCAAGTGCAGATCAAAACCTAAGAAAGGTGCATGGCCCTTGCTGGACACACCCTTGTTAAATGTGCTTCTTCACAAAACACCGACTTCTGAAGGAGAAATACATAAAATCCTTAAGGTAACAAAAGAACTAAAATCACAATTCCTGTCTTTGCTTGTAAGATGTCCCACAGCAAAGAGAAAAAAATCAACTTAAGTTGAAATTATGTAATTTATTCCAAAATTATGAAAAAATTGTTGTGAGTAGGATATGATAATTATTTAAGGAAAAGCCTGTGGTAGAGTGCATAAAGAAAACGTGTACTCAGGAGAGCATCTCTTGAGCAGCAGGAAAAAGATCAGGTCTCCACTGCAGCCTGGTCATGGCAGGTCACCATTAGGCCACCACTTCTTCTGTGGAACTAGTTGAGGTGTGGGGTTATTTGTGACTGCTGGACTGCTGGAGGCCTGAACTTCTGAAACTATGTATGAAATCCTAGTACAGACTAAAAAGCAGAAACTTCAGCTATTACTGCTATAGCTTCTCTTTAATTTCAGACTAAGAGGTGTCCATGAACCATGCTGCCCACACAAGCATGCTTTTACTGTTCGAAGTTTTCAAATAATGGAATAAAACTATAGATTACCACAACAGGAGGCTGTGTAGGAAGCAGGGCGGGCCTGTGATCTTTCAACCTCCCCCTCTCGCTGCTCTCCCTTCTCTGGTCTCCCATTCCACGACACATCAGAGAGCCACCTCGTCTTCCTCCCCGCCGGGAATTGTAGCGTCCCTGCTTATGCTGCCGCTCTCTCTCTTCAAATTCAAGCAATGCAGCTTTGGCTTCTGCTGAAAGCTCTGTTTGAAAACATGCACAAGTATTAGACACTTTCCAACAGCCAAGAACAGATTCAAGGGGAGGAAACAGTAAAAAAATTAGTGACCATGAGCCTGGGCAGCAAGTTTTACACCCACAGTAACTCCTAAGCTAACAGGAGCAAGTGTGACACCATCAATGTCCCTCACACTCAAGGGTGAGATATGTTGAACAGAGGCTTTCCTGTGCAATAAAATACAAGTATCATCTACCCATTTTAAAGTATTTTCATTTGAGGTCACAACAATGCGCTAAGTGAAGCTAAGAAGAAGTAGCTGGCATGACACTTAACCACTGCCTTTAAGCTGCTTAGCATTCTGTATTCACTTCCGCCTTCTCAAGACCAGTGACACTGGTCAGGCGCTCTCTCTCCAGTCCTACATCAGCCAAAGCTCTTACTGAAGCCAGGAAGAGAATGCTCTTAATACCCAATGGCACAGACACTCAGGAAAACAAGTTCCCAGTCATTCTCATTGGAAAACAAAGCTATTAATGAACCTACTCTGAAATAAAATCATTAATTTCTTAAACAACAGAAAGCTCATTTAATTCTATTTCACTTCAGAATTTTATATTCATAAGAAAACTTCATTTTGTGACAAAGGCTTCTTACACCCATATATTTTGACATGGACTTATGAAAGGACAGCAATGTGACACAGGAAAAAGATCATTGATGAAAACACTGCTGGAGTACTGGGCAGCCACTCATCTCTCTGCCCCATACTTCAGACAATTTAAAAAAAAGGGTACTGGTCCCAAGAAGCTTCCAATGGCATATCAGTCTAAGCTCCAAAGGGGGAAAAAAAAAAACCCTTTTATCCAAATAAGGTCCTTTTACTTTACAGTATCTTAATTGTGACAAATCCTACATTATGTGTATTTTCTAAAGACATCATTAAATACCAGAGAGAGCCTTATCATGCCCTCTTCCCCGGAGAAGGGTAAATCTTAAATATCACCAGAGTTCACCTCCTACCTTGGACTCCATCGTCATCTCCAAACTCTCCCAAAATCTCTAAACTACATTTCATTTTCTTGAAATTTTTTCTGAGGTATTCCTCTCCCCTTCAAATGAATCCAGACCCCATTTGAAAGAAAAATTAATCTGCTTTTAACCAGCATAGACTTTTATTCTAATCTTGACTACATGATTGGTTCACATACACATTTTATGCAGTGAATCAGCAATTATTTTTCCAGTGGTTCTGAGTGCCAAGATTAATTTCACTATCCTCAGTAATAAAATGGTTTCAAATGACATCTTTAATCAGCAAGTAAAAATGCTTTCCTCCAATTGAGACAAGCTGTCACAAAAGGTCACTAAAATATGACAGGATGGAAATTACATTTGTAACTTCAACTGAAATGTTAATTTTCCTTTAAGTGTTTTCTGAACTATGTCCAGATTTCAAGGTAAAGAGATATAACACAGTATAACAAAGTTTTATAGTGTATTGCCCCTCTCTTCAGTATTAAGAACATATTTGTATGCAAATAATTATATAATAGTTAGCAAACGACAGTCTGGGACTTATTTTACGAGATAAATGAATCAAGAAATTTTTAAAACCATGCAAACACAAGGACCATAGTATGTGATTGTCAGCACTAATAATCTTGAAATATCTGTCACTAGGCAAAAATCTTTTTCCCACAGATCATTTGCCTTAAACTAAAGGATATTAGTTCAAAAGAACATTGAATGAGTAGGTGTTAGCAAGCAGGCTCCTTAGGTTAAAGCAAGAAAAAAACAATTCAACATAGTACATGTGCCAGTGAGACTTAGTCTCACAAGGTCTGGAAGTCTATTCACAGATTGTGAATAAAGAAGTCTAGCCAGGGCTGAGGATGTTGGTCAGTGGTCAGTGGTACAGCACATGCCTAGCATACACAAAGCCCTGGGTTCCATCCCCAGCACCACAAAGAAATAAATGAATAAAAAATAGTGAAGATGTCTAACTGAAGTAAGTGCAACCTTTCACTTCCCACTCATCATACTTTCAAAGACCATCTGAGGTCTACTCCAAAAGAATTGACAGCTCTGAACTTCAAAGCTCACACTTGAGGGGAACTGGTCAATGACGTCCTGTTTGTAGAGAATGTTACTAACATTTTTCATTCAAAATAAATCACTTCTTTATATATCCATGTTCTACCAACTCTTCTAAACTGGGTTCCACAAAGAAATTACACCCTGAGGCATCCTTTTCATGAAATGAACTAATTTATCTTCTGAATATGTCATTTACCATCCCTGGGAAAGTTGAGAAAACAGTCACTCAAATCTTTTTCTGTGAGGTTTAACCCCAGAATCCTGGTTGACAGAAAAACCTAACCAATTCACAGATTCTAACCTAGATGAAAACCCAAAATTTTATTTCTAATCCAATCTGAATTCAAAATACAAATCAACCATTGTGCATTAGGTCACTTAATAGTCAAGAATGTTATGTACATGATTTAATGCCTTTCATATTTAAGGATGCCATCTTTTATCTGAATATGAAAAAAAGGCTAAACATGACCAAAACTCCCTTCTAGATTCTGAATAGGACTCACTACTTCAAACTTTCAGGGTCTGAAAATGTAGATTACAGTCTCATTCGATTATTCTTTTAAAAATGGGATGTCTTCAACCTTCACCAACGCTATCACCAAAGGAAAAAGCTACTGTTTTCATTTGTATCAAAATGGGAAGAAAAAAAAAGTTCAAAAAAATACCTATCATGAGACAACATATGAACTCTGGGAGTAAGATATTTTAATATCAGTACAAAAAGTAGTTAAATAAATAGCTTTATACAATGAAATAAGTGCAATTATTATCCTGAGTTATTATTTGTGTTACTGTATCACTAAATGTACACAAATAAACTGACAGGTGATAGTCAATTCATGCACATTTCTAGCCATCCTGTAGCGCACTCTCTTCAGTGGGTCTCCTCTATGCAGCTGGCCTCTGTTTGGGGACAGTGCTAATGTTACCAGGGAGTTCACTCTTCAGAAAACCAACCTTCTGATGGATGGAGAAATCCTTCTGCACTGGAAAGTTATTATATAGCTTACAGTTATTGGAAAACTCATGTTTTCACTTTCTTAAGTCAGGACTTACAAATACAGGACAGAAAAGGTTCTTTTAAGCACCACTTTCATCTGCCTATCTAGCCAAGCAACCACATTGTACACAAATGCATTTAAGTCCTTTTCTACTCTTTAAAACTATAGTAAATAATCAAACTGTTTACATTTGTAGCCACTCTACCTCTAAGGAACCCTCTCTTCCCGTAATTCAAAGGATGTGACTTGCAGGAGGAGGGGGGAGAGGTGAACCAAGCCTTCCAGCCTTTTGTCTCCCGACAACCTGACTACAAAGCTGCAGAATGCCTTGAAAAGAAAAAACAATGCAATGGAAATTCTTGGAATAAAAGAAAAGTATAAATGATTCTTAAAATGAGGGAAACAGGCAGAGGTCCTGAAAACAAAGAGGTAGAAGAATCAAACAAAATTTACAACAAAGGCCAGCCAGACATTTTAGAATAAGGATATTTACCACTAATTAAGTGGAGGTAAAATGAACACAGAGGCAGGCACAAACAGCAAGGCAGCCTGAATCAGGGGAGGGTGGCAGGAAGAGGAAGGTGATCCACACAGTGGCCAGAGACAACTGGCCACACAGGGGAAAGATCACCATTCATCCCTAGTGCTGGCTCTCAAATGATTTAATATTCTTGAACTCACAGTTACCCATGAAAGCTCATTTATGCTCTCATACTTCAGGTTTTACATTTGTGCAGTCAAAGCCACAGCCAGAGAATGAAGCCTAAGAGCAAGAAGTAGAAAAGTATGAGTCCCCACCATTTCCTCCCCTTCCCCCACTGCAGCACACCTCCCCACACCTCCCCAGCTCAAGAAGCACCTCCACTGCTGCCCACTGCTCTCAGCATCAGCCATGTTCACAACTCTTTCCATTGTTCATCCTATCCTAACCCAAGACTGAGATGTCTGTGCTCCAGTAAGTTTCTTCTGCTACATTATCAGTTTCTCCTGCTAACACACTTTGTTTTCTCTTACCTCCTATTTTAGGACCTTTCCTTTATCTTAGAATCACCATTAAGCTTCTAGGAAATGTCTCAGAAATTTAGTTGATACTAACTGGTAACTTTATACAGTAACTTTAGAAAAATCTAAGGAAACCTAGAGCCACAAGGCAGAAAAGAAGAAACCAGAGGGAAAAGAGAGAAGTTAAGACTGTGGCGTAATGTCTCCAGAGATCCTGCCTAGTAAAGCTCCATCAGAAGAGCAGCTCACTGGACAGATGCTCATGCTTGTATTAAAAACCATCACAAACTGTATGAAAGGAATAAAGGTATGGACTGGGGTGTGGCTCATTGCAGAGTACCTGCATAACTTGCATGAGGCCTTGGGTTCCATACCCAGAGGTACTTAATCAGGGCTCAATTTTGACTTTTATCTAAACCAAACTACAAGGACAGGTATGGCGCCATGCTCCGTGCCCCTTGCCCTCCTCTTGGAACAAGGATCACATCTTGGTGGTTGTGTGTGCCGGACTCACGAGTAGCAACACCAGAGAATGCACTGGAAATGCAACTTTCCTAAACACCACCAAGGACTAGCAAATCAGAATGTCTGAGAGTGGGCCCCAAAATCTATGTTTTAGCAAAGACCTCGGGCTAATTTCTAGGCAAGTGCTTCTATAACTGAGCTACACCCTCAGCGCTGTGAGGTGATTCTGATGCTCACTCAAACATGAAAGTCAGTTTGGTGGGAAAGAACACAAAGTGCACAGTGCACTTTGTGGGGCTATTACTGCTAGTAAGAAACTGTGGTAGACCTACCACAGCTGAACCTGCTCAGAGTGATAGTCAATTAGTTATGTCCATAAACAAATCACCTCACTAAACACTGAAGAAAAAGAAATTTTAAACAGATGGCTGTGAGGACACTAAAAGTTCAAAATTAAACCAGTGTGGTCCACAATTAGTCCTGGCATTCTAGACAGAGTGTCTCAGGAAAGGCCAGTGGCCATCAACGTCCCCATGCTACCAGCTCAGGACCAGCCAAGAACACATGGTATAAGAAAATGTAGCTCCAGGCCAGACTCCGAGAGAAAAACTCTTAAAAAGTAAACAACCTTAACTATTTTGTTCAAACACTGTTAGTCCAGAAACAACAGTCATTTGTAGAATGACCTTCACAGCACTGCAGCACAGACCTCATTCATATACACACTCTGGGTGGCATCCACAGTTACCGACAGTCCACTTTCTTTTCCTGTGTGATCAATCGTAACAACACTATTAGGAATCGGAAGTGGGAATGAAGAAGGATGGAAGGCAGGCAAAAAAAGTTACCCAAAGTCTCTGGAATGTTCCTTCTCTCTCTAGTTATGTCTGAGAGCCTAATAATAGTTCCTTCTTTCCTTTCAGTTTTAAAACGCAATCGTCCAGATTCTTCATCATCGTCATCTTCTTCATCTGACTCTTCTTTTACATCCTTCTGGAGTTCCAGAGTTTCCATACCTCCCTACATGGCAGACAGAAAGCAAACAGGGAGACTTTAAGTCCATATTCATTTAAATTTATATTATATAATGCTAAAATATTTTAAGCTGTTTGAGCTGTATGATAAGGCCATGTGAAACACTAAGCTGACTCCAGGCAGAAACAACTTCAAGCATTATGTTGGAAAATAAATACTGGAGAACACTGAGTCCTATATGCAGTAGACATACAGCATCCCACACCTTGCTGCTACTCACACTCCTGAGATCACAGACTCAGTTCCCAACATTCCTCTGGACCTATTGCTCAGTCTAATCCAGATCACAGCAAACAAAGTTCAATGTTAACTTAAATGGAGTATAATTTCAGCATAAGGTTAACACTTCTAATCCACAGCATTTAGACTAACACTGGCTTCCATGAGCTGATTAGCATATGAGCCACACGGCAATGTGCATTAAATGACGGTCACTGTCCAGCTTCACAGGCTCCACAGCTCATAGCTCTCTTAGTTAGCACTTTACTTTGAGTTCAAATCAGCAGTTGGGGTTGCTGTTACTTGTACTGCTCCAACCTCCAAGCTCTTTCTTCATCACTCTACTTCTCTCTGTATCTAAAATTATCTTACTGCTGCTGATCACGGTAAAAGCAAAACCATTATTTTCTTCAGTCAGTGCTTCACACTAAAAACAAGTTGTATTACATCAGTATTGCCCCCAGAACTGCCTCTACTTCACCCCATATTGAAGTGTAGGCAAGCATCACATGAGCTCCTGCAGACATGAGTCACTTTCCTCTCAAGTCAGTCTCATAACCCATTCTCAGATGAAGGATAGGGTGCCTACTGAGCATGATGCTCACTTAAACACTTCTCATTTAATGAAAACAGAATTTGCTTCCTCATTCTCATGATTCGTAATTTCGAAATGTTATATGCTCTTAACAGAAACCAAGACAAGCTACTTTATTAGAAAATGCACAAGAAAAAAAGTAAACCCATGACACAATCATTTGCATTCTTCTTTTCTTCAATAATCACTACATAAAAAGATCAATTACAAATACACAATCTCTACACAAACCCTAAAATACCTGAAAAGAAAAGGACGGCTGTAAACTAGAACTTCATTTACAGCCTAATGCTTACAATGTCACCTTTCAGTACTCTGAGGTTCAGTACACTGGAGCACTCTACCGTGCCAGAATCTTGGTACTCGTTGGTTTGTAGGCATTATCTCTACGGTACTGGACACCAGAAATTAAGAGTCAGTAGCACCCTTGAGGCACGTGCTGCCCCATTCCTTCACATGCTCTGGACAGCGCTGCTCCTTATTACTGTGTACTCCAAGCAATGGAATCGTGTTCAAAAGTAGAGTCTGAGGTGGCTGGTCTAGGGTGGCACCTGAGATTCTACTTTCTAATAAGCTGCTAGAGGAAGCCAATGTTTGGGATCACAGACCACTAAGCAGTAAGACCACAGAGAAGGATAAATTGCTGCCATCAAAGCAAAGATTCTGCTGTAGTTATTTCAGTAACAGCAGCTATCTGAAATTCAACTACTCACTGTGATTACAGCTCAATGACTCTCCAAACAAGGTTAATGTAAGCCACAACAGTCCTCAAATGCACATAGCTTATTCTGCACCTAAATTCCCAACTACAAATCTAAAAAGAACAAGATGAGTTTCTTTGAAACAAATACTAGTCTGCCAGGAGAAAAAGAAAAACCTTCAGTTTATGAGCCAGCAGTCCTACTCTCAGGTATTTACTGTAGAGAAATTACTTACGTTCAAATAAAAGCCTATAGGAAAATGTTCAGGCTGTATTCAGGATCATCCAAACTGGAAACACCTGTATGTACTTCCGTGTGTGAATGGATGAGATGGACTACATCAAACCCTGGAAGACCACAGATCTACAGAGAAAAGGGAACTCCATACAACTGGGATGAAACTGTAAAGGCATCTCAAAAACTTACATTGCACTGAGACAAAAGTATACTGGTGTCCAGTGGTAAGACTACAAAGGAAAACCTGAGATATTTTCTGGGGTGGTAGAATTGTCCAAGAATACAAACTTCTGGTCCAAGTTCTGAAGCCCAGTTAAGCCTTGAACCACATCAAGCATTAGGTGAACTGTGAACTGACGCCAACATCCAAGTGTGGCTGACACCATTCACCAACCTTCAGCCACCTGACAGCATTCACTAAGCCAGACTCATCTTTTAAGTCACTGGTTAGTAGCCCTTATTCTAAATAAGAGCTCAAGGAAGGGGGAAGGAAAAAAGACATGTAGCTTATAGAACTGACTAATTAACTAATCTACCTGCCAAAATGTTGACCTTCCGCATAGTCTTAAACATATACTACCGAGGTATTCCATTTACAAGCAAAATTCTACATAAAAATCACCCTAAGATCATATTGTATAAGAATTTAAATATGTATTTATTTAAACTTGATTTCATTACAGACATCACCAAAAATATTCAAAGGTTTGATTTTTGACTACTGATTTATTTTGAAAACTTGACTTATTTTTAATTCTTTTTTTTTGGGGGGAGGGAGGGTATTGGGGTTTGAACTCAGGACTTCACACTTGCTAGAAAGGCCCTGTAGTGCTTGAGCCATGCCTCCAGCCTTTTTTATTCTTGATTTTTTTTTTTGGAGATAGGGTCTTGCCCTGTGCCTGGTCTATACTAACCACTGATCTTCATATTTACTCTTCCCTCCATAACTGGAATGACAAGTGCACACAACCACTCTCAGCTTTACTTTTGATTCTTAATAAAGTATGCATATGAAACCACTGTGAAAGCACCTGAAAAAGGAGAGTGCATGCAGGTCTTACCAAGCATATATTTATAAAGAATCAGAATTTACAATGGAGACCAAGATCCCAGACATGTATATATTTTGAAGTTCTTAAGTGAGTTTTGAAGTAAGCCTGTGACCTTAGTGTGTTAAAGGAAAATTCAACATTCTAACTCAATACATAGACCTCTGAAATGGGGGGAGCCCCAAAAGCTGTAACACAGCTAAAGTTTCCAAAAGTTTTAATGTTTATTCATAGAATTGATGTTGGCAGATATGAATGAGTACCCAGTGCATTCTAAAATTTATATGGAAATTTAAAGGACCAAGAATAAACAAAATAATCTTGCAAAGGAAGAACAAAATTAAGATATTTATACTACCTGATGTTACACTAATCAAGACTGTTTAGTACTGGCATAAAGACATAAAAGTAAATCAAGAGACCAGAAAAAGACTTGAAACGTACAACAGTCAGCTGATTCAACACAATCACTAAGTCAATCCAATGGGAGAAAAGTCTATACACAAATAGTGGAGGAACAAATGGATAGACATATCCTGGGTCTCACACACACACACACACCTACTAGTTGAGGCAGATCACAGTCCTAAACTAAAGCTAGCTGCATTAAAGTTCCAGAAGAAAACAGAGTAACTCTTTGCAAAGGGTAAGCAAAGATTTCTTAGGTAATAAAATTACTTGATCATCAAAATTAAAATTTTTCTACTTATGAAAAGATAAATTTAAGAAAATAAAAACACAATTCACAGGTTCAGAGGAGCATATTCATACAGCATATACCTCCCATGGACCTGATATCTGCCTGTGTCTAAAAAACAGAGTGTGAGAACACACATAAATGTTCTATACAGACCATGGAGTCTGTGGTGTCTTCCACATATGCAGGGGCAAGAGTCAAGTTTCATCATTCTAGTCTCCTCAATGCCTAGGGCAGAACCTAAATATGGGAATCTTGTGGGTTTTTTTAATAATAGTTCAAATTAACTAATATTAATTGATTAAAAATAATTACAACACTGCTTTCAAACCACTAACTTATTCATCATGTTTTTGAGAGATATCCCCAAAAACATTTAGAACACTAACACTCAAAGAGGCACAAACTCCACAGAAACCACAGCACAGCAGAAGTTACTTGCCTAAGAGTCTAGAAAGCTTCAGTTTTTAACTATATTGATAGTTCAGAAAAGAGATCTATCAACTTTTCACTAATGCTGAAAAGATGTTCATTTTAAATCTGGAAGGAAAACAACCCAGGAAACTTGAGAAGTTGAGCAAATACCTCGTGGGTCTCAGGAGCAACCTGGGAATGAGTTATCTCATCTAAGTCATCTTCAGCCACACAGTCTTCCTGTGCTCGCAGCCCTTGTTGCCCACCAAAAGCCTGCAAGTATTCTTCATCCTAACGGCCATTAAAGAGAAAAAATGGTTTTCTCACGAAGCTTTGGTTTGTTGAATTATTTTAGCAAATTTGACTACAGCCACTACCTGACTGAGCATAAAGCACAGAGCACATCCTCTCTGCATTCATACAGACAATGTGCACCATGCTTCCTAGTCCTTGCCTGCAGTTAGTGACCTGGGCTCTGCTTCAGTCCAGGTACCCTGTTAAAACAGCTCTCCCTCAAATCAACCCTGAGACAAGCAGCCTTGGGAGAGAGAACTGCACAGAGGAGCTCAGCAGCAGGAGGGATAAAATCATGCCAATTCTCACCAATCTTATGGCAACAGAAAACAAGTGTGGCCAATTCAATTCAACATGGTGCTTTTTGAAAATCACAGGTTGTGAGACTCCAGATTTTGCATGAAATGCTAGGGGCAAACCCACAGCAGGCCTTTTGGGCTCTTGGAAGGAAGCAGGCAAGCTGGCTGAAGGTTACTAAACTGCCAAAGCAAGGCTGTTCCTGTATTACTAGTGAGTAACATGAGCCAATTCTACTTGCACAGGCAGGCTTCTCAGATTCCCTGGTCACTTGCAAAAGGCCTGCAATAAAGTAAGCCCTTTAACCAAGCAGGCAACACTAGAAGAATGAGTATCCTACAGATCCTAGCATCCTGCAGCATGGTATGTATGACAGTCTCATCCACACCCCCAAAAACGCAGCTGTCTCCAAGTGAGCAAACCACATCAGGTCCCACAACTGCCTCTCAAGATGATCCGAAAAGAGTACACTCTACTTTCCAGAAGAAACTATTAGCATCCTGTCAGAAAAACAATCACCACTATCCTGGACTCACTGGCACACAGTCAGATTTCAAATAAGCCAGAGATGCTACTCAAAATTTCAGCCAGTGTACAATGGAGTACAGCCCATTCCTTAGCCTCTTAATGCTAAAAAAAAAAAGAAAGAAAAAAAAACCTGCTGCCCTTGACATCAACTATAAATGTGAAATTTTGTAAAGTTTTATGAAAACTCAATTTATGTGAATTTTACAAGCCCTAAATACACTGATTGTACTTAAAAGTATATCACCAACAAATAATTACCCATTATTATGTTGACTACTAAGCAATAGCCCTTACTACAATAAGAATACAAAAGTTTTAAAATGAAATCACAATTTAGTCTCAAGAACAGCACTAGGAGCAGGACACCAGTGGCTCACAATTATAGTCCTAGCTACTTGGGGACTGAGAACAGGAGGATCACAGTTTGAAGTCAGTGGGGCAAAAAGTTAGAGCCCCTACCCCCCCAGCTGAAACAATAGCTGGGCATGGTGAGCATGGTGGCATGTAATTATCATCTCAAGATACTTGGGGCTAAGATCAGGAGGATCAAGTTCAAGGTTCCAGGCCAGACAGGGCAAAAAAAGTTTGTGAGACCATCCCTCCTCATCTCAATGGAAATAATCTGGGCGAGGTGACAAGTGCTGTCACCAGAGGGAAGTGTAAAATAGAAAGGTCATGGCTCAAGCCAACCCGGGGGAAAAAATAACCAGAGAAAGAAGAGCTAAAGGCATGACAAGCAGTAGAGAGCCTGCCTAGCAAACACAAAACCATGAGTGCAAAGGCTTGGTACTGCAAACAAACAAACAAAAAAAAAAATGGGGGGGAAGAGTAACACCAGCAAAATTCACACTTAAAGACCTTGCTACTAGCCGGGCACCAGGGACTCACACCAGTAATCCTAGCAAATGGGCTGAGGTCAGGAGAGAGGACTAAGGCCAGCCTGGGGAAACAGTGTCCAAGATCCCATCTCTAAAGTAACCAGAACGAAATAGCCTGGAGATGTGGGTCAAGCACAAAGCTCTGAGTTCAAACCCCAGTCCCATAAATAAATAAATAAACAAACAAATAAATGAATAAGATGAAAAGAAAGATAACCAGAGCTGTGCTGCCCACATTCAGCATCTTTGGATCTACCCTTCTAAGTGACGGTATCCCTTCCAGTTGTAAATTCAGTGGTTTTCAGGTCCTACAGTCAGTTATGCCCTACCTGCCCTCCACGTAACTTCACAGGTGAAGGCAGGTGCTCACACTTCAGAGTTTAATTTTGGCTTTAGAGAGCAGGTTAGCAAATGCTAACTAGGACAAGGAATCTACTAAACCATCTAATAAACTACATACCATTGGGATACATGGGTACACAATCTACTCATGTGTCCAAGTCTGATGAGAAATAAATAAGGAATGTACGCATCAGTGACAGTCTAGAAAGACAGCAAGAGCCCCACCCCCAAGAAGAGTAGAGCACTGTACAGTGTAACTCTGCACACACCCGTTCCCACCCAACAAGCTCACTTCAACAGAAGCGGAAACTACCAACAGAAAAGGATGGCTGCAGCACCAGACATGTTAGGGCGAGCTGAGACTGCTCACATAAAGACATCAGCTACTTTCCCTCACCTTTGAGGTTGATGACTCTGAAAACATCAGGACACTCAGATTTTCTAAGTAAATTTTACTTTAAAGATTTTTGTAATTCTGAAAAAAATAATTCATTGTAATATGGAAGACCTGTATGAATATTTTTCAATGGCCATATTTTATTCTTCCCAGTACCTGAATCTTAAGACTACAATACACTGGCAAGTCACAGTGAGTTTTACTATAGCTGGGGCCTTTGTGTAGCCTCAGCTGGACAGTGGAATGCATAGAGGAGATTCCTCACTGAGAAGACATTCTCTTCACAGCTCCACAGGCTGACCAAGGGAGATAGCTCCTACACCGCTGTACATACTCACTCCATCAGGCACTTCTCGGTTATGTGTCCCTAAATCCTACCTTCATGAGCAGGGCTCAGTTTCACTTTTTTTATGGTTCAGCAGTATTTCTGTCCCAGTGCTTGAACAGCAATCAGTAAAGAGACACTGCTCTGAATTGCAGGAGATGACTAGACAATGTTTATGTTACTGATGAGTAGAAATAATAAACTACTATAGCTAGGAAATAAACAGGCACATTTTTGAAAGAGTATGCGTTAATTTTCAAAAAGCATTTTATTTATTTTTATTATTACTTTGTTTTTGCTGGGACTGGAGTTTAGACTCAGGGATTTGCACTTGCAAAGCAGGTGCTCTACCACTTGAGCCACACCTCCAGTCCATTTTACTCTGGTTATTTTGGAGATAGGGTATCACAAAGTATGTCCGGCCTGACCTTAAACTATGATCCTCCAAATCTCAGCTTCCTGAGTAGTTAGGATTACAGGAATGAGCCACTGGTATACAGCTTAAAAAGCATTTTAAATTAGTGTTCAATTTTAACAAAGTACACAAATATACCAATATACCAGAAGACACTTTTCCATCTTATGAAGGACTGCTTACCAAAACATGTCATTGAAGGGCTGTCAAGATGACACATTCCATGATGCCTTTTCATGACTACTGACCCAACCACAAAGGCCTTTTTTGAAGAACAAGTATTCAGAAAGAATCAAACTTCAAACTACTGAGACACCTTAGCATAATCACGAGTGGAACTAAATATTCTAAGGTTCCACTTAACTAATCCCTTTCAAAAGTACCTTATAGACATACAAATAAACAAGACTCAGTAACTTTTGACCATTTTTCTCAAATGACAGTGCACACTGCATGGAGCCACTCCCAGGACACCAAGGGCTCCAGGCCATCAGCCACACCACTTCAAAGGGACCTGGTGCACTGAAAGCCCTAAGGTTCTACAACTGCTGAGGTCACATCCTTCCCATGCATGTCATTAAGTGCTTATTTCAAAAAACAAACTGCTTTTGATGGTGAAACACTAGACGGAGGAGCAATGTCATACCAGTACCTTTGTCTTTCCTAATGGTTCAACTTCAAGAAAGCAAACACTACCTACCAAAACCATCTTTCTGAAATAAAAATCAGCACAATCTTTGCTTACTGATTACAGATAACAAATTATGTGTGACATTTCCTAAACTAACCTCCAATCTCTTTATTCAGGTTTAGACAGTTCTCAGTTACAAAAAAGATGAATGAACAGCACATCAATCACTCTGGAATATTAGCACCTTAAAGATGTCTTTAGCAGGTCAATAATCTTTTCACCTTAGAAGGACTTTATCAGATCTTGTCTAAAGCCTGGATAAAAGCTCTGCATTAAGTACTTCTAACAATTGACAGTGTATCGCCACCACACAAAGCTGTTTTCTTCCTTAGGGTGCAATCCTCAAGGTCACAATTCTTTGCAGCCTTCCAGAGTGACAAAGAAGCATTACCTCTGGCCAAACAAGCTGTCAACACAAACTTTGTCATAGCTCAGATAAAGAAACTGGCAGACAGTGATAATAAGGTCTAATTTCCCTCCCTCCCAGGGGAGGTAAATAGATTTCAAATCAGTCTAGAAACCTATGAGCAAGAAGCTATGTTATCTGTGGCCATACAAAGGAGAAAAGACTCACTGTAAATTCATCTAAAGGTTCATTGATTTCGATGTCCAGCACTTCATCACTGTACAGCTGCTCCTCCTCTGGCTCTTCTCCATATTCTATTTGGTCTTCTGTCAGCTCTGCACCGTGGCCTTCATCATACTGTCCTTCCTCTGAGTACTCCTGAGTGTACAATTCTTGTCTGTCAGGTTTGTGGTAGGCCAGCTCATCCTCTCCTTGTTCATACTCAGATTCCTGTTCTCCAGATTGGTCGTTAGTGTTGTCTGACAGCTCAAATGATGTAACTATGCCGGAGGTAGTGTTCAAATTAATTGTGACACCTTGAGAACTAGAGACAAAAACACAAAGAAAATACCTGCTGAGAGTGGAACACAAAACTAAATCAGTGCATGAGTTATTTGAGTAACTGGTAAATGTACTTCTACTCCAACAGTGGGCAAAAGCAGAGCATTGTGTACCACACTAAGCCAGCGCCACAGCACCTGCACTTGTCAGCTGTTATGCCGTCTGACTGAAAGAACCAAGCCAACCAGAAGAGGAAGCAGGTCTGACTCATTTACAGAATACCAAGGATGGAATCTGTTTCCTAAGACTGCTAACTGAAAATGAGAGTCTTACTCTAGAATCAGAAAATCACAGTTGGGATTTTAAGAACAATTTGGTTTCTTTGTAAAATCTACGATGCAAAGCATAAACTCACATTTAGGAAAATCAAAATATCAAAAATCTATGTGAAATACATTTCAGTGTTCACAAGAATAGTCTCAAGTATCTCTTTTAATAATTGGTAATTTCTGCCAAGCACTATGGTACATGCCTGTAATTCCAACATTGGAAAGGCTGAGGGTGACAAGTTCAAGGCCAGCCTGGGCTACACTGTGAAACACTGACTCAAAATTTAAAAGAGGTTAATTTCTAAGCAAAATAACAAAGAGGGTTTTAAAACCACACACACAGAATTACTATAGTAATTTGATAGTCTACCTATCAAATGATAACACTTAAAAGACAAAACAGTAAACATGCAATATCTAAAATGTAAGCTTGTGCAAATCTACACGCACACACATTAAGTATCCAGTTCTAACAAAAAAGTGAATTTAAAACATACACTTCAAGCCACTGTGGCTAAAAAATACTCCAAAGATTTATTTCAAGGCTAACCAAACTCAAATGATCTAAATATATTAATGATGTCAAAGAATGGATTTTGAAACTTACCTAACTGGTAGAACAATTTAAAACTCTTTTACCCATAAAAATTCACTTTATGTTAGAAAATCTTTTACGAATCTACAGTTCAATACTACATGACAATGTCTTAATTACATTTATAACCAAGATGTCTGCTTATATCTTTCCAATGTTTCCTTATAAAACTGAAAAAATTTTGGACCGAGTGTAATGACTTACACCTGGGAGGCAGAGATGGTGCTCTGAGGCCAGCTTAGGCATAAAAATTTAGTGAGACCCCCATCTCAAAGAACAAATTGGCTATGGTGACATATAGCCTATAACCCCAAGTGTGAGGGAGGATCTGGATCCAAGGTCAGCCCCAGCAAAAAAGCCAGAGATCCTATCTGAAAAATTACTGCAGCAAAAAAGACTGGAGGCATGGCTCAAGCAGTAGAGCTCCTGCCTAGCAAAGAGGAAAGACCTGAGCTCAAAACCCCAGTAACCACAAATGGAAAGAAGAAAAACTGAAAAAAAATTTTTCACCTACCAGGGTATTACTAAGTCTTCTTCCTTTCCTCCCTGTCTGTCTCTGTCTCGCTCTCCTTCCCCCTCCCCCCATTTAATGTGGACAGCACTGGGATTAAACTCAGGGCCTGTGTGCTTGCTAGGCAGTTGCTAGCTTGAGCCACCCCAAGCCCTTTTCTGCTTTAGTTATTTTTCAAATACGGTCGTACCACTTTTTTGTCCAGGGCCAGCATGCCTGTCCTTGGTACACGCCTTTAGTAGCCAAGATTATAGCAATGTACCACCATGCCCAGCTTATTATTAGTTAAGATGTCGCTTCACTAACTTTTTGCCCTGCCTGGTCTCGAACTTTAATCCTCCTTGTCTGCCTCCCAAGTAGCTGGGATTATAGGCAGGAGTCACCCTGCATGGCCCAAGAAAGTAATTTTTTAAAGAACAAAATACATCTATCTTGCACTGAACAGAAATTCAATGTAAGGTCTACTCTGCTTTCAAGCAGCTATCTATTTCCAGAACAACCCACATGGTCTCCAAATCATTTAGAATGTAAGTCTATTTTAAAGATAGAATCCCACATTATTCAATCACTCCCCATTATAATTGTAAATGGCTGCTATCAATTTAGTTAAATACAGAATACCTTAATGAGTTAATATTGAGTACCTGAAATTTTCTTCGTCTTCATTATCACTCTGTAAAAGATCATCATTCAGCTCTTCATCTGACAGATCTGATTGATTCTAATTAAAGGAAGAAATATAATTAATGTGTGTCACTTGTTACAGAAGTGCAAGATTGCAGTGAAGGGGTGTCTCTAATTCATGCTATGTTATTAAAACACTTGTATCCACAAGGTCTTCAAAGTGTGTGACAATGCACGGACCCCAACAGGGCATCTGGGTGCCCCTTCCCGACAGGCAACAAAGTACAAGTAAAATCATCACAGTCATCCTAACTCTAACACAAAAGAAAGAAGGAAAAATGTCTCTGGGTGAAGCCTTTCAAAGAATTTTCCCTTACTATACACAAAAAAGAAGTGATGTCCTTAAAATATGACTTAAATTTAACATTCATATCCAAAATTATAATTATGTAATATACAAAGTATAACTTTAGAAATAAGCAGTTTTAAAGGTAACTGGATCACCAAATTAAAATAGTAACAGACCATGATAACTTTGGGTTTTTTTTTTTTTTTTTTTTTTTTTCAACATTAGTCACTCCGTTCCTCAGTCCTAACAGGGCTGTGTATTCACCCCTCATGAAAGCCAGGCAGCCTGGGAATACAGACGAGAGATCTACTTTTTACTGCATTAAATGAATTCCAATATTCTAGATTGAGGGAGGGGGTTCACAGCTCCCTCCCTATCGTAATTACTCACATGTATAAAATGTGAGTAGTAATACATTACTACTGCCCCTCCAAAAGGCAATCAAAGTCACATATACATTTGTACATTCACATACTTTTTAATGGACAGATAGACTGACTTGATTTTCCAATTAGATGAAACAATCAGTCTTTTGGACATTTATACAATAGGTTTTGTAAGCTTAATTGCATATTCTTATTACAGTGATCCTAACAGGCAAAAATAACTGATTTTAGTAGTATTTTTATTAGTCCCAAGATTTATTATGATCAGATGAACATATCACACAATCAGTTTCCCTGCGGGGAGGATGGATGTGCATGACAACAAAACACAACGAAGTTTCTGACAAGATCAGGCACATTCAGGGTGGTGTGGGCGTAGACAACAACGAAGCTTCTGTTAGCTGACATGTAACCTGCCTTCCAAACTGCCATCCGACAGTGAAAGGAGATGCTATTAGCAGGCCTAAGCCAGGCCTGTCAGGGACAAACCTCAGTTTTAACCGTCCGATTCAATAAATAGAACTTCAGGATGTCCTCAAAAATTACCAATTAACTGACAGCCAAAGTCCACTGTGTTAAATATCTGTCAATAATCAGAAGTAATAATTTATCAAACTAACAGACAAATAAAAGGAATATATGATGTTGTGGGCCTTGACCGTCCTCAAATCTCACCTGAGGAATCAGTCTTTCTCTCTCAATTCTGAACCTACCAAGTAGCAGACATAGGAGACATCACAAGAAAAGCTAGACTCCCAGAGAAAGCTAGGCTAAGTCCCAGTGGCAGAACTAGATTCCAGGACATCCCAATAAGCTGGAGAGAGTTCTAACCAGCATGGCCTGCAGGACACTCAGGTCCAGTTAAGATGACAAAGTGGTGGCAGATGCAGTCTTTCCAAACAGATAGGCCATTCTTCCCATGAGGACAAAAGCAGAAAAAAAGAAAAAAGGTTCTCTCCAATGCTCTGAAGGAGGAACTTCCATGGGCCAAGAGTTTTTGAAAGGAGAGACACAGAGGTCCCTGGTATGCCGGAAGAACACCTGTCCTGCAAACCAGGTAACACCAAGGTAAAACACAGAAGCTGAGGAAGGAATCCCACAAACTGGCAGTCCACTTCCATCTCAATCTTAACCCAATTCTTGGGTCATACCAGCCTCTTTTCATCCTAAATTTGCATCCTTGCATTTTAATTATGTGTTTGAAACTTGACCCTCTCAATATCCCTACTCCACACAGATGATCCCCCTTCCCTAAGAGCTCTATGCCTTGCTCTGCTAGGAGGGAATAAAATCCTCTCCAGACAGGGGCATACCTGTGTGCCCTTCACCATGCACTTTCCAGAGGGAAAGGTCAGGCAGCTAGGGCACCTGTAGATAGACACCAATCACACACTGTAGCCAGAAACTCACAAATAAATTCCTGGAGGAAGGTACAATCTCACAAGAAATCAAAGAAATACAAATTAAACCAACCAGATGGTTGATTATTTCCCATCAATCACAATGACAAAAACTCCTTTTATAAAGCAGCATCGAAGCTGGGAACACAAACTGATCAAACATTTCCACAAAACAACTTGGCAATATGAAACAAGAACCTTCAAATGTTCACATCCCGAGGCCATTCTCCTTTATGGAAACTTACAAAGAAAAGTATCCTAGAAGCATACACTTTAATATTCACTAAAATATCATCATGCTATCTGAGATTTACTTCAGAGTATTTCAGGAAGTAGGAAATGGATAAAGATAACACAAAAGTACCTTTAACTGAAAGTTAACAAAGCCAGGTGAAATACACATGAGGATAAATTATACTGTTCTCTCTTTTTTTCTATGCTTGAGATCGTCCATGTAAAAGTTCTGGTGTTTGTTGTTGTTTTTTAATTGCTATGATTTGAGTACCCCAGGCATCATGGGTTGAAACAGGAAAAGTCCAAAGCTAAGCCATATCAGACTAATATTAAGTACAAAACAGAACACAGGAAGAAAAACTGGCTTGGAAAGAATTCTAAATCAAAGTCACATATTAGGAAAAATGCTAATAATGCAGCATAGTGAGGTGCCAGAAAAATGGCAGAGCAGATTCTTCTTCTAGTGTAAGATCAAGATTAAAAAGGCAGATTAGAAACCATGATGTTTGAAATGCAGGCTTAGACCATTAATACTACAGGCAAATCTTAACCTGAAAGTATAACAAGCATTAGTGTAACTATTGACAGTAAGAAGCCACCATAATTTTAAGTCTTTTAAAAACAAAATAAGGAACTATGCTGGTATTAACTGAGAATACCAAGTGTTCTTAAACTGTTAATAAAATTTCACTTTCATCTTGTTTCACATTTCCAGTTTTATATGTTTGGTTTTTGTTTTGTTTTGTTTGCAGTACTGGGACTTGAACTCAGGGCCTACACCTTGAGCCACTCAACCAGCCCTTTTTTGTGAAAGGTTTTTCGACATCGGGTCTCACAAACTATTTGCCCCGGCATGGCTTCAAACAGCAATCCTCCTGAGTAGCTAGGATTATTATAGGCATGAGCCACCCATGCCTGGATTAGTTTTATGTTCTATTTATAAAATACATTGGTAGGTGTATTATATATACATATACACATACTAAAATAGTTGCTTCAAAGTTTTTACTTAACAAAAAAGGTGGAGAAAAACCTATGAGAACTTGTAAATCTTATTTACATAAACATTTGTTATATTTAAGTATGTTTATCTTTAAGCTTATCTGTGAATGCTACCAAAAGTCAATTCTGAAACCAGTGTGCAAAATATTAAACCACCACATGGTACATTCCTTTGAGACAAGGGGAAGTTTGATATTATTGCTGCCCCAAACCCAATACCTGCTAGAGTGCCTGGGACACAGTAGAAACTAAAATGTTTGCTTCAAAGGATTTATTGCTTGAGTTAAAATTACCAGAGAATTTACCAACAAGCAGTTAGCTCTGAGCATCTGCAAAAGCAATTCAGGGCTGGAGGTGTAACTCAATGACAGAGCAAAAGATTAGCAAAAGCAAGGCCCCGGGTTTAATCACTAGCAAGCAAACCAAACAAACAATTCAATTTATAAAATACTGACATATCCCCAACTTTCCAGTAATGTAGTCCAAGTATAAGTGATGTGTTCCTGTGTTTTAAGTTCAAGTAAATGACTACTGTTTTAATTTCTTACCTTTTTGCCAGACAGCAAATCTTCTCCGAGTAAGTCATCTTCAAGTTCACTGCGGGGGGAAAAGAAATCTAATGAGGGTTTGAGGATTTTCATGTGAAGTTGCTCTGCTTTCCTATTTCTTTATTAATAATGAAAAGACATTTCCAAACACATAGGGACCAGTCTTTCAAGTACCGGGAAGCCTCAATACAGGAGGTGACTCATGGGACTTCTGATCTTAGTTTTGCACATCAGTAGGTCTGAATTATCTTCAGACCTGTTGAGTTATCAGTAAAAGAAGAAATTATATATAAGAACTAACAGGTTTTTCCTATCTTTAAAAATGTCTGATGAAATAGGAAAAGATGCTCGCTGTCATTAGGCAGAAAGATAAAAACCAAAGCCAAAAGAAACCATTTGACACTCACCAAACTGCCAAAAACTGAAAAAAATTAAAATTTTAAATCAATGATGAGGCTATAAAGTCAGTGACTAAGGGAGACATCTTTGCGTAGTGTAGAACTCACTGTGGTCACATGCCATGTTCTCCAGCATACCTCTGATCTGAAATTACTGGGATTTCTCACCATTCAAATGAGAACCTTTAGTCAATCAAGAAGTCAGACATTTTCCACTGTATTTAAAATTTTTTGATTGACAGAGTGCTACCACTGGATTACACATTTAATTCTGGGAAAATCAACCTTTTAGAAGCAGAAGTCTTTAAGGACCAACATACAGAAGGAGAAGCACAATTACAATGAGGATGATCCCAGGTGCAGATGACCATAGAGGTTTAACTGCATCAGTGCTCTTAGTAGAATTGTTGCTTTTTTATAAGGCCTCCAGTTATAAAATTCTATAGTTTTTGAGAGATCAGCACTATTTTACTAAAAAAAAAATTCATTTTTGGAATGCTGTTTTACACAATTCTAGACTCTCTAGGAATGTATGTGTAGAGTTAAAATTACACACCTCTATGCAAAAGCTTTTAGAACTAGAAACAACCTAACAACAAACCATTTAGTTTATGCACTGAAGACCTTCTTAGTTATTTTCAGTTGCCAGGCAATAAGTCTTTTATCCTTGTTTTAGAGACAAAAATAAGGACAAGATATTAAATAACTTGCACACAACAGAGACAGGTGCAGGAAAAGATGAGCCCCTGAAAGACAACTTTCACAGGCCTGTGGAAGATAGCGCTGAGAGGAGACACAGTCCCTTCCAAAATATTTAAACCACCAACTTCTATCAGGTGCAATTTGTGTATCCTTGTGTCACAATTATCCTCCAGAGACAGGAAAACAAGCTGTCTAGTCAATGAATTCACAACAGCCCTATCTGAGAATCTGATTCTAGAGGACCAAAACACACAAAAGATAAGCACTCCTCTATACCATCTTTAAATAACTGGAAATGGAAGGTAAATCATTTTCCTAGGGTACACTAATTCGGACAGTAATAAGATCTTGTTTTGGTAATTATACAAGCAAAAAAACTGGGAAGAATTTGTACCTTTTTCTGACAAGAAAAGCATTTGGAAATAAGAAATAAGTCTTTAATGACTCCCTATTCTCTTTTAAACAACAACAACAAAAAAAAAACTGGAGGAGAGGCAGTATTGAGGCTTGAACTCAGGGCCTCATGCTTGCTTGATATGAGGCCACGATCCCAGCCCCAAAACATTTTTAAAAGACGATAAATAGCTCCATCAGTTATAAAATGAGTGGACTGTACTTGTTCCCATGACTAATGAAAAAAGCAGGAAAGGACAGCAGGATTCAGCCCACAGGACAACAAGCATAAATTAGAGATCAAGAGTAAAGGAGCACACTTAATATGCTAGGCACTGTACTAAGTGGTTTACAAGTATTAACTAGCTTTTAACTTGACATGATAGCCCCATCAAGTAGATACTTAATCTTTCAACGGTAAAAGCACAGACTCTGGGATGTTAAATGACTTGCCCCGGGTCACCATGCCAGAAAGCTGTGACACCAGAAGGTAAACTCACAGTGAGTCTTCAGAGTCCAAATCCAGTGGCTCATGCCTGTAATCCTAGCTACTGGGGAGGCAGAGAACAGGAGGATAGTGGTTTGAAGCCAGCCTGGGCAAATAGTTTGTGAGATCCTATCTCAAAAATACCTAACACAAAAAAGGGCTAGCAGAGTGGCTCACATGGCAGAGCACCCGCCTGGCAAGTGTGAGGCCCTGAGTTCAAATCTCAATATCGCAAATCCCAATTACCATGCACTCAGCCCAAAGAAATAAATGTGCTTGTCTGCTGTCCTCATCAAGCTGAATCTTCACAGAAGATGTGCACCAGAAGGAATTTATTAAATAAATATAATTACCAAAACTACATTGACCATTACCAAAACCAACAACAAACTCCTGGAAGTAAATGGCCACCCAAGTCATTTCCAGAGGGATGAGTAATAACCATGAAGCTCCCCACCAATAACCACCAGAAACTGCTCTCAAAAACAAAGCAAGCGCCCACTGAGAAAGAGGTTCCTGGGTCTCACTGCAGTTTCCTAACTAACAATTTCACCAGAATCACTACTTAAGTAAGAACAACCTTTTTGGCAGACACTCTTTATCAAAAACTAGAGACAACATCAGCTCTTTGAAAGCAAGTATGTATTTACTTACAAACAGAAGTGTCTTGAAAGACATTTCTTTCGGGGGGGGGGGGGGGTAGGCAGTACTGGAGTTTGTACTCAGGGCCTCATGCTTGCCAGCAGGCACTCTACAGCTTGAGCCACTCCACCAGCCGAGAAACACATTTCTAAGGAAGAAAACACTTGGCCCACAGCCTCTCGGAATCAGAAGTAACAGTACAAGGGTCCCTCACCTCATGTCCTCCCTACACCAAATGACTCTGGGCCTGGACGTGTCCTCTAGGAACAGCTCACCTAAGCCATCCGCACCTTGGCTCTGGATACATCACGACACGAGGAGGCACTGAGAGAACTTCACCAAGTAAGAGAGGAGAAAATGGCCCCTCCCTTTTCACCACACCCCTCATAGCTCTACCAGGGATCCAGGTGACCATGTCTTCCCCTGGCGAAAACTGCCCCTCCCTGGGTACTTGAAAGTTACTCAGTTCTGTAATGCTGCCTTGTAAACAGGCCCTTAATTAAAATGATTTTCAGTTCAAACCTTCTGAATGTGCGCTCAGCTTGCCATGCACATCTTTTTAAAAACTTTAAAAAATTTCACATGTTGATTCAGCAACATCAAATTCTTCAAAATTTCCATTGATGCAATGTAGCAGCAAGGGCATTTTGGAACAATCACAATTCTAAACTTCCAAAGTTCTCCATTATTCAGCATACAGAAGAGGCTATTTTAGGCTTAAAGACATCGAAGAAACACATGTGACATAGAATCTTTACATACGTAAATATGGCACTGAAAACAGTGAAAGAAGGAAAAGCTAGTTTATAAACATTGGGACAACTGTTATCCCTACTGAGGGAAATAATAAAAAAAAAGAACCCTGTCTCACACCATGATCAAAAACAAATTCCATTAGAGACAGCTGCCAAAGACAATTCAAGTCACATCAATGGACACTTAAGCCAACCAGTATACAGTCCAACTGAAGGATTCAATTGGGTAGTATGACCATCACTAAGACAATGACTACAACTACAACGGATTGAACAAAACTGGTATTTAAATCTATGATTTCAAAATGATTCAAAAACAAAACTCACACATGGAGATTAAAGCTAAGTACTTTAAAAGTTGGCAAACAAAACAGAAGAACCAGTCACTTTTCTTTCCTATCTAATCTGTACCTTGAAAGAAGCAACTGGTTTACAGAAACATTACAGGGAGAAGATGGACTATTATCACTGTACCAGACATGTACGGCCCCCAATGGACGAACATAACACACTAAGAGACATCCACATTCCTACCCCTCCCCAAACTCAAATTTCCATTTGACCAACCTCTACGTCTATTCACTTGCATAAAAATACAACAGGTAAAGGAATACTTGAAACACCTCAGAGAATACAAACAGCAGAAGCAGAAATTCTGCGGGGAGCATGGCTCAAGTGGTAGAGCACCTGTGCAAGCTCAAGGCCCTGAATTCAAACCCCATTACAGGGGAAAAAATATAGAAGACATACTACTTTGTTTCTTCCACAAAAAACTCCAAGGAAAGAAACTGCTATGATTTCAGTAAGTGTTCCCCAAAGGCCCATGTGTTAAAGACTCGGTCCCTAGGGTAGTGCTAGGTGGGGGAAGGACCCAGATCTCATCCACTTGCTCCTTATATACCTTGCGCATAAAGTGATCAATTTTGCCAAGCCACCTGCTTTCCACCATTATGTGCTGCCTCCTCAGAGGCCCAAGGCAACTGGGCAGCTCAGTCATGGTCTAAATTAACCATATCCAAAATAATTCTGTCCCTTCATACGTTAATCATCTCAAGTGTTTCACTGTAGAAATGGAACGCTCACAGCAGAGAACCGACAGAGGAAAAAACACTTATAAGACTTAGCAATCAATTATAGCATATTCGGACCCAATTAAAACTACATAAAAAAGTACAGATGCAATATCTACCCTCTATGAGGACATAATATATATTTATATATACATATATATAATATATATAATATATATACACATATAATATATATGTATATATGTAATGTATATGTATATATAAATATATATAATAATATATATAAATATATATTATGTATTTAATTTGTACACACACAGATATTTGACACAATCAGGGAAATGTGAACACTACTAAGACATATATTAATAGTAGGAATTTTTCTTAGACACCTCTATTGTGGCTGTATTTGTAAGTCCTTTACTTTTTAGAGACACATCTGAAATATTTCAGATGAAAAGATGTCTGACTTGAGAGGGTACAAACTGGATATAAGCTAATAATTGTTGAAGGTGGATGGTGCATAGGGTCCACTGCTATTCTGTGTCCACATAAGCTTGAAATTCTTGATAAGTTAGAATTCAACTCATTTATTAATTTATTTACCTTTGTGACAGTCTCACTATGTAGCTCAGGCTGGCCTGGAACTCCCAATCTTCCTGCCTCAGCCTCTGGAGTGCTGAGATTACAGGCATGTACCAACACACTCAACACTAAAACTCAAATTAGTTTAATCAATTTTCAGGCAAATTGTGTATCTAATTGTTTAAAAAAAAAAAGTTTACTTTGACAGAAACATACAGGACATACTGAGAATACAGGGTGGGGAAAATTTCTTAAGGACAAAAAGCTGAAGGAGCTTATCCAGAACTGTGTGCCTCCTGAAGGGAAACACTGAGGACACTGCATGGACACACAGCATTACTGACCACAACACCCGACCTCAATTTAGCCATGAGGGACCCGGGGCATTTTACATATGCATGTCCTGTACTCTTCAAAAATGTCAGTCACAAAGACAAAAGCTACAGAGTGCTTTCACAGTAAGAAACAAGGTGGAAACACCACATATGATCCTGAACTGAACGGTTAACTGAACAAAAGAAATTCTTTTTTTTTTTCCCCGCCTTTAACAGACATCACTGGGGGGGATAAAGGAAAATGATGGAGGCGGTGAATTCAACTATGGTATGTTGTTAAGAACTTTTGTAAATGTCACAATGTACCCCCAGCAGAACAATAATAAAGAAAAAGAAAACAAAAAAATAAAGGCTATTACTGGAATTGACAAAAATTCTTAAATGTCTCATTTTGAAAATTACACAATGGTCACATACGTGGAAGTCTTCATTCTACGGAAACACATGCTAAAAAATACACAATCATTCAGAAAATGGCATCTATTATCAAATAGTGTGGGAAAGAAAAATTTTCATATATTTACAGATGGATGGACAGAGACGGAAGGAAGGAAGGAAATCAAGACGAAGTGGCTACTGAGGCTGAAAAAAGTCAAATGGGAGTTGTGCTAAGTCTTGCAACTTTCTTATAAATTATAAAGATTTCCAAATAATTTTTTTATGTTAGTTTTAAAAAAAATAAAAATCCAGAAAAGAAAGATTATAAGTCTGATCTATTAAAGAAAAAACCTTTTGTTTTTTTGGGAGGTGGGTTGGTGATACTGGGGTTTGAACTCAGGACCTCGCACTTCCTACACAGGTGCTCTATCACTTGAGCTACACCTCCAAGCCTTTTGGCCTTGGTTTTTTTTTTTTTTTAATAGGGTCAGGACTTGAGTCCTCTTACTTATGCAACACTCCAAAAAGGGTAAAACCCATATTCTCATTCCATTGACTCTCAGTGTTCCTGGATCTCAGCCTCTGGCTAAGACCAGGACTTAACATCAATGGCTCCCCTGGTTCCCACTGGGACCTGGACTGAACTACACAGATTTCCAGCATCTCCATCTTGTAAATGGCAGACTGTGCAGCTTCTCAGTTTCCAAAAATGTACAATTTGATTCTTCATTCTACACCTTTCCTTCTAGCTATACATACTCCTTCTCTGGGGGATCTTTAGTAACACAGTGAAGGAGTCATTGAAGAGCAGCCAACCTTATGTATATCACAAGAGTCAGTTTCCACTAAAGATTACTCTGCACAACTTCTGGGACATGGCTGCTTTCACAGAGAAACCAGGTATTCTTTTCACTGCAGTACATGTTTGATCTTTATCCAACCTATTAACCTTTATTATTAAACACTCTGGTTGCATGTCCAAGGCAATTGCTACATCTTCTCAATACTGTATTCGAGAAGGCTGTAAAAGAACTGTTAGCATTCTCACCCCCACCAGCCCAATTAAGCCCCACTGTGCACTTCCCCACTCATACACCCTCGAGCCTAGTGGAACCGGTCAGAGGTGCCCACCCACTGGACCGACGTCTGTCACAATCGTGATTCTTCTATACCATGTATGCATGTGTGCTCCTGAACAGGCACTTTCATCTTCACTAGCAATCAGGGAAATGCAAATTAACATCAACACATGTTAGAATGACAACAATTTAAAGTCTAGCCAAATACTGGGTATTTATGGCAAACTACTTCAATAAAGGTGCTGGGTATCCACAAAGTCAATGCCACAGCTGAGTAAAAACATGGAAAGACATGGAAGGCCCGTGCTCTGTACAGGCTGGCCCATACAGAACTGGCACAAGGTGTAGTGCCTGGAGAGCCCTCACACTAGCCCTAAAAGGAGGCTCACTCGGGATATATCAGGGAACCAGCACACAATTTTCAGTAAGATCTCTATGTATACTATACCAGTGATAGGATCAAAAAATGTCACCACAGACTCCCAGCAGCAGCAAGCATGTACCTGTCCCAGTCCTCATCTGCAGCTCTTCTTCTCCAGGACCGTTCTGCACCAGGCTTATCGAATTGGTCAAAGTCATCATCTACAAGAAAAATCCATTTATGTCAGTTTTGCTAACTCAAGACAGACACAATGCAAATAACTGGCTACAAAATCAACTTGATTAAAGATTCCTGAACTGACATTTCAAGATTAAAAAATTCCCTAACTAAAAATTTTTAAAAATGTGCTGAACACTATTAGGCATGAAAAATTACTAACAGAACAGTTTTTAAAACAGTAACTTTAATAAAATGTTTCCTTAATAAAATAATGGCTTTAAAATTTATGCTTCTTATTTCATGAAGGGAAAAAAATGCTAATTTGCCATAAATTGAAGAGACTTTTATAATACTTTTTGTAGACTGCACATTTTTTCCAAATTAATCATAGAAAGCAAAGACTTTTTGAGGAGGAGGGGACTGGGGTTTGAACTCAGGGCTTCATGCTTGCAAAGCAGGAGATCTACAGCATAAGCCACACCTCCAGTCTAATTTGCTCTGGTTATTTTGGAGATGGGATCCTGTGCACTATTTGCCCAGGCTGGCCCCAAACCCGGATACTCCCAATCTCAGCCTCCCAAGTAGCTGTGATTACAAACATGAGCCAGTGGTGCCTGGCAAACAAATACTATTAAGACTATTTAAGGAAATAGAGAAGGGCTGAGCAACAGAAACATAATGCAACACATATATTTTAAGTTTTCTAGTACCCCCCATTTAAAAAAAAACTGGTAAGTACACCTTTAACAATCTCCTTATTTAATCCAATATACCTAAAATATTATTATAGCATGGATCCAATGCAGAAAATAGTAATGAATGTTCTACATTTTCCCATACTAAGTGCATACTTTTCACACACAGCACATCTTAACATGGAAAAGCCACATTTCAAGTGCATGGTGGCCATGTGTAGCAAGTGACCACTACAGAGGTGGACAATGCAGAAGAGTAAATGCTGTAAGAGTAAAGCCCTTCAGGGAACTTCATTCCCTCTTCTGTAAAATTTATTTCATAAATTTACTGAAAGATTAAGTGAGATTGTAGTTTAAGACATAGGAAGTGGTAACAGGCCCCTCATACAACTGTCTTTATTATTAGGAAACTCCAGGCACTGCAATTAAATTTCTCATCTTAAACCTGCTCAAAAAGTCCTGCCCAGCTGCAGCAGATGGCTCCCCTTGGTGGAATGCTCCACAGAACCCAAACACCTGTAAAGCCTTAGACATTTTTCTAGCCTGTGGCTGGAAATTAACCACCAAGGTTCTAACAAAGTAGTCTATCAACTCTTACCCAGACCATTTTTTTAAAAAATGACCATTTAGGGACTTGAAGTATGGCTTAAGTGGCAAATGTGCCTGCCTAGCAAATGAAGCCCTGAGTTCAAACTCTAGTACTGCCAAAAAAAAAAAAAAAAAACTGATTAAAGACCATTTAAAGTGTCTGAAAATGATTCTAAACACACATAACAAATGAAAAGATACTCATTACAGAAATATACTAAAACTTGATTATAAACGCAGCAAGAATTCATGGTCCCTGAGCCAGGACCAGCTCCAACTTCCCTTGGCCAGCAAGACTGACTCTAACACAGGTCTCCCTGACTAAGCTCCCAGCTAAGGGCTAGGACTTCTTTACTTCTCTCACTCTCATCTATTTGCTGCTGAGACTCACTTCTGGGAGTGTCAGTGAGAGGAAAGCCCCTCTTCCACCAGGTCTCACTTGTGGACCCAGGTACCCAAGAAGTGACAGCAGAAGCGCCATACTGCAGGGGAAGGATTGGGTTATGGAGAGGACAGGATGGGTGACTAACAGGCACCATTAGTAAACAAGCAAAGAAGAGTAATCCGCCCAGAGGGAGAGTAGGGAGACCAGGACCCATAGCTGTCCCACTATCTAAAATGTGTAGTTTCTAACAACAAATTCATAACACATCAAAGAAACAAAAAAGAATAACCCATAATCCACTGGGAAAAAAGCAGGCAACAGAAACTGCCAGTGAAACTACCAGATTTAACAGAAAAAAAAATAATATTCAGTAGCTACCATAAACATTTTAAAAGCTAAATGAAACCATGATCAAAGAACCAAAGGAAAGTATGACAATGCCACACCAAATAAAGAACACAAATAAAGACAAGGAAAACCCAAACAGAAATCCTCAAACTGAAAAAAACAAAACAAAACAAAAAAAAAACAAAGAATTCACTAAAGGGACATAAGAGTACATTTAAACTGGCAGGACAGAAAGGAAAAAGGAACCTAACATCAGAGACATGTGGGCCATCATTAAGCACCCAATACACTGTCAAAGGAGTGCCAGAAACGAGGACAGAGAGAAGCAGGGAAAACAATGGAAGAAATGCCTAAATACTCATAAAATGTATTGGAAAATATTGACCTATACAGTCAAAATATTTCCAAGTCAAAGGCAAGGAGAAAATATTGAAAGAAACAGAGAAAAACCAATCCTCCCTTACAGGGGAACTGCAGTAACAACTGATTCCCAGCAGAACAAAGACAGTGAGGAGTGGGATAACATATTCAAAGAACTCAAGAAATCTTATATCCAACAAAACTGTCTTTTGAAAAACAAGATGAAACAACATGCACAGAAAAACAGAAACACAGCGGAGCACCAGTGGCTCATGCCTGTAATCCTAGCTGCTCAGAAGCAGAGATCAGGAGGATCACAGCTTGAAGCCAACCCTAGGCAAATAGTTCCTGAGATCCTATCTCAAAAGTACTCAGTACAAAACAGAGCTGGTAGAATGGCTTAAGGGGTAGAGCGCCTGTCTAGCAAGCATGAGGCAACAATAAAAAGGTATTTGTTGCTAGCAGACCCTCTGTAACAGGATGAATTGTATTCTCCAAAAAGATATGCTGACTGCTTACGCCCCCTCTGAATGTCATCTTATTTAGAAATAAGGTGTAAAAGTAAATGCATTCAAGTTAAAAATGATAGACCGGCTATTAACGAACACAGTAAACTCAATGGCTGTTGTCCTGGTGAGAGGAGGAAAATTTGGAGACAGACAGACACAAAGTGAGGGGAAAGCCAAGTGGAGCCAAAGACAGACAGAAAAGGAGATGAGAGACCAAAGACATCTTGTGATGCTCCTACAAGAGCCACCAAAAGCTATGAAAGACCCACAGTTTTTCAATGGGAGTTCAGTCCTGTTAAAACTCTAACATGGACTTCTGGTCTACTGAGCTTTAAAAAAATTTGTTGTTTTAAGCTACCCATTTTGTAGTGTATTTGAATGTACAGACTCATACCTTTCATTGAATTTGAGAAATTCTCAGTCATCATTTCCTTAAATATTGTTCTGCCACTCACTCTTCTCTCCTGGGTACCCCACATATATTTAAGTACACTTGATGGTGTCCTATAGGTCCTTGAGGCTCTGCTCATTTTTTCCCTTTCCTTTCTTCTCACTGACTGGATTATCTCAGTGGCCCTCCAGTTTTGTTCTTTTGTTTGTTCAAATCTGCTGTTGAACCCTCCAGGAAGTTTATTCCAGAAACAAAGTTCCGTTTGTTCTCTTTTGTAATCTGTCTTTACTATTATCCCCTATTTCTTTACACAATGTTCTGCAGATTCTAGGGGTTTCTGTTTATTTTTTGCCTATAGTTTCCTAATGCAATCAGAGCATAATTAAGACAGTTGCTTCAAAGTCTTTGTCTGCAAGGTCAATGTGTAGACTTTACCCTGGGTGGTTCCCCTGTGAATGGACTGTATTTTCCTGGCTTCTTTGTGTGTATCGTAATTTTTCATTTAAAACTGCAGTATCATCAGACCCTCCCCTGTCTACAGACTACTGCCATTACTTAATGAAGGCTCTTAACCATTTCATTAGTGACTTTTCCAAACCATTTCTGCAAAGACTATTATATTCCTTCTTGAATGTGGTCATTTTGAAGTCTCTATTCTTTTATCTTCCCTAGTTAGTCAGTGACCTGACAAAGATTTCATTAAATGTCTCCAGTAAGGAAAAAGGACCAACACTTCAGTGAGACAGGATAAAGTAACCAGGAATCTTGTGTCATGTCCATTAAGGACCAAAAGCTGCAAAAAATCCACTCAACCCCAATCTTCAAAGGACAAGATCCCTCCTGCCTTCCCTAGAACCAGCAGGCTATACTATGATTGTAGCTACTGTCCCCACAGCTGCCAGCCACGGTACTAAGGGCTGGGGAATAGTAGCACCATGTGAAACATCAAAATTCAGATAATACCAACCTTTCTTCATCAGGTACCCCTGTGGAGGCTGTAAGTGTTCAACTAGCCTACCAAGTTCCAAAGCAGGTACCACAACCGTTCTTGCCAACTCAATAATCCTGGACAGACTGCTGGCACTTCCTACTGTAGTATCTCCTGCAATACCACAGACTGGTAAAGCAGATAAAAACATGACCCAGCTGGGTGCCGGCGGCTCACACCTGTAATCCTAGCTACTCAGAGACGGGGATCAGGAGGATCACAATTAGAAGCCAGTCGGGGCAAACAGTCTGCAAAACCCTGTCTTGAAAAAAACCATCACAAAAAAAAATGGTGGTACAGTGGCTCAAGGTGTAGGCCCTGCATTCGAGCCCAAGTACTGCAAACAAACAAACAAAAAAAGACAACTATATACTACTTACTATAGACCCACTTTAGACGCAAAGGCATAACAGACTGAAACTCAAAGGACAGAGCAATACATTCCACGCAAAGAGTAATCAAAGAGAGTAATGGCAGATAAAACAGGAATAGCACATGAACAAGATTTTAATCCAAAATTTTTTAAATCAAAGGATGTTGTATACTGACAAAAGGGTCAATTCATCAAGAATATATAATAAACACATATACACCAAAATATATATAGCAAACACTGACAAAACAGAAAGGAAAAATAGAAGGTTTTATATCAATAGGTGGAGACTTTAATACCCTACTTTCAATACTGTATAAAATATCTGGATAGGAGATCAATAAAGAAAAAGAACATTCGAACAATACCATATACTAACTAGGCCTAACACCCAAAGACAGGAC